TCTCTCCAGGAATTTGGATCCCCTAACAGAAACGGCAAGTCGAGAACATTTATTCGCCTTGCCGTGAATTTCGAATAATGGCGCTTTTAATTTCTGCAGTTTGGAATATCTTTTTATCTGCAATACCTTGCACATTGGTCTGAATTTTTTCAAGTCGCTCGATCGCCTTCTGGAGAACTGGAGGGATACAGTACGTGATCTCCATTTTCTGCAAGTATAGTTCCTAGATCTGCAAGCTGTCTTTAAAAAGGCGTAATGATTAAATGTGAAGCAAATCTACAATTAAATTGTTCTTGCGGAATTTTTATTTCAATTTTTGACCATTTCTGATAGTTCAAGAGTTTTATTTCATTGCTATTTTTCTTCTTCATGTTTTGGTGCTTCTGGTCATACAGTCAATGGAAGTTGATGAGTAGCAATTTCCGCGCTAATTTTTCCTCACTGGATTCTGGCGTATCTTCAAATTCCATGATAATCATTCAAAGTCATGATACATTAAATTTACGTGGTCTCTCTCTCTACAACAAAATTCAAGGGACCAGAAAAAAATAATTGTAGAAAACTCCAATGGTGCAGCAAAAAAAACAGTTCTGAGAATCATTTGGGACTTCCATGACCCGAACATCCAATGCATCAATTTGTTGTCAGGTCATTGTCTGATTTATCAGCAGAACAATACATTGGCATATGAATAATGGTGCTGAAAAAAAATTATAGAACTCAAATCACATACAAAGTTGAGACTCGGTTAAAAAAAACTGCTTGGGTAACAAAATTTTGGTTTTGAGGAAAATCCCTTGGTTAGGAAACCAAAATTTTGTTTGAAAATATTTCTTGGCAAAAATCCCAACTTGAAAATTAAAAATGTGTTCAACAGTATAAGGCTGAAATGTATGGTACAGGAGGACTCTCTCTACAACAAACCTCAAGGGACCAGAAACCAATTTTTTGTGGAGAACCCATATAACATGGGTAGTTAATGCTGTGGGACACAGCAAAACTTTTCAAGAAGAGAAAATTATTGTAGACAAGATTGTTGTAGAGCAAGTCCTCCTGTTTTAAAGTCTCTTTTAGTCTTGAGATCTCCAGGCAATTATTCTGGATACCAAGCAAAGAGAAAAAGCAATAAAAATTTAACTTGATGCTTTTCAAAAGGAAGAGTGTGACTAATGGGAAATTTGAACCATTGCTACCATGTCCAGCTAATCTACAAATCAGTTTGAATCTGATAAGATACCCAATTTTAACTCCCTGTAATTCTTGATTTTTTTTTTTACTTTAACTTAACTTTTTTTTTGTTTTTTAAGTGTTGACCTTGAAACTGCCTGAGTCACTTTTTTGTTTGCTGGACTTGGAGTTTGACTGGTCTTCCAATATTCCAAATCTGTCAAGATAAAACCATTTCTGAAGAGCAATATACTATTTCTTGAAATTCTGCAAGATATTTGATGCAATGAAAATCCAAATCCCAAATGATTTTTCTCATTCTATTTATTATTTTTACAACTACACCAGTTTGGAATGCACTCTGAATAAATTAAAAAAAGGTATTCATGCTCATAAATATGATGGAATCCCATTCTGCAGTAATGAGCAAAGCTGAAGGCACAGGCGAACGGTGGCATGCTCATGTCACTGCTCTTAGCGTTGGACCAGATCATCGTCGCTTTGGCCTTGCCAGAAAACTCATGCAAAACATGGAGGAAATATCAGAAAAGTGAGTTTAAATTTCTTTTAAAAGCCCGAAGTCCTATTTCCCGACATTCCCAGGAAAATAACCTGCATTTTATTTTAGGAAGAACACGTATTTCGTGGACCTGTTTGTGAGGATTTCGAACAAAGTTGCCATAGCTATGTACAAAGCCCTGGGATACATAGTCTATCGGACGGTTCTGGAATATTACTCTGGAAATCCGGATGAAGACGCTTATGGTATGTTATTTCACTTATTTAAGTCATTTGAATCTCACGGTTCCCGGGAATTTCAATTATAAAGCATCATGGCTTTGAAAGAATAGGTCCCCAACGAAAAGGGACCCTGCTGGGGATTAAGTTTTGTAGTGGAGGGGCCCACGAAAAAAAGTCCCCAGGGGTTAGGCGGGTCTATGGGACCAATGGGTGAGGGAGTGATGCTCAGTTTTATTTGCTTGGTGTTTTCAATAGCTTATACAGTGAGACCCCGATAAACAGACAATTTGACTCAGGGATAATTGATAGCCAAAAAAAAATCAGGCCCAACATCTGGACATCAGCTCAAGATAGGGACCACTTTTCTGAAATTTCCCCAAAAAATCATAAAAAATTTTTAATTTGATGTCTTTTGAAGAAATCAACTTCTGTATATTCACAAAAAATGTAAAAATATTCCGCAATGAATCACTGTGATTCATTAGAAAAAGCAAGCTTATTTTGTGCATATTTTTTCCTATCATCTGTGCATATTCTAGTAGGACTTTGCTATATACAGTAGTTTATTTGCTTTTTGAATTACTTTTGATACCAAGAGACCATATTCTATGTTGCTCTGTTCTGCACTGTTGTTTTCTAAAACTTGAAGTTGAGAGAAACCATTTTATTACATTTTTTGAAGACTTATTTCTGATTTTTGACAAAATGGAGAACCAATTAAATACATCAGCATTGAAGTCTAAGGGAAAACAAGACTTGACTAAAAGACATTCCAACATCAAGACACTCTTTTGATGATCCAATTATGTCTGCATCTTGGGGTCTCACTGTATTTACAGCAGGCAAAAGCGCCATTGTGGACTGAAGGAGTGTTTGTTTTTTAATAGTTTTCAAAAACAACTCTCTAGCAGGAACACAATACAGTATTATCACCAATATTTTGGAGGAATGCAATATTCCTAGCCAATATTTCTTAGGAGTACAATATTTCTAAAAATGTGAGGCTTGTCCAGTGCATGTTTATAAAAATCTCTTCATCAACTGGCCAATCAATCCCTTACCTGTTTGTCCCATAGCCGCGCACCCGTTGGGGACTTTTTTGTTCTGGGTCCCTGTCCCCGGGATCTCTTCTCCCGGGTCCCTTTTCGTCGGAAAAAGTTTGCTCCCCAATTAATGAACAATTAATTGATTTTCAATAATGCAGGAAGATTCCTTGGTGCTTGCCAGACCTGAATTTGCACACGCTTTCTCATGACTAAATTAAGGAGAAAAAATGGCGAAAAAGCTCACGTTTATGTCATGAACACATGAAAAGAAACATATATTTTTATTTTTGCAAGATCACAGGGTTTATAATCATATGATAAATAATGCAGGTAATAACTGCACACAGAAGACAAAGTATACAAAATAAGTAAGTTATATAAAAACTGCAACAGAAAAGTCAGATAACACTGGTTTAGGCAATTATTACGTAACTTTCATATTTTTATTCATAACTCAAAAAATAGTTGTTCAAATTGACTAAAAATTTGATAGATTATAGAACACATGTAGGAGCACCTTCGCTGAAGTTTTCATGCTT